AGTTGAAATTGTTGAAGAAATAGGAGCAGACAACCTGGTAAATTTTATATGAAGTTATACAAACATACCACTGTGATATGAATTGATCTTTGACCTTCTCTAAAGATAGATGACGTTTGACTTTACATAACATGAGCTTCCGTACAGAATGGAAAGTCCGAATGAGATTTATGTAGCCAACTTAATGTAGTTGAATTCAGCTTAGCTGATTGTGATGTCAAGTATTGTCGATCAACTGAAATTTGCTTTTGCTGTAACTTCTGCAAGATGGAATCTGTGTATTGACTATTTCAAGATTTTAGATTGGTATATACTTGTTTGTAGTATAGCAGAGATAATTCTCTTAGAACTTGCTTTCTCCAGTTTTTGTTCGGGGCAAAGATTCATGAAGTTCCCAAATTGCGTGAGGAAGTATCTCCTAAAATGCCACTGCAATGTGCACGTGTTATAAGGTATGCAATTACAGTCACTTCAATCAATCATACTCACTTAGCCAGTTAGTGATTGGGTGACCAGTCTAGAATTTTCAGATTCTTTAGAAGGCATGTGTTTGAAGTCGTTTTTGACCATTGAGTGATGTTGTTTGAGCAACAGTTTCCTCAGGTTCTAATTCTGCTGTGATATTTATTATGTGTAGGATGGTCCGAGATGGCTATTTCGGATTTAAAGACTATTTTGAATCTCTATGTGATACTGTGGACGGTGGTAAAGACTTCTATTTGCTTGGCTCTGATTTTCAAAGCTATTTAGAGGCTCAGGTAATTATTTCTGTTTACTTGGCAGTCCCAACCCAAAGCATATATATGCAGTTTGAGTTTGGTGTTGTATAACGTACTATGGTGCGTGGGATTTGAATCTATATGACTACAGGCTGCTGCTGATAAAGCATTTGCGGATCCAAATAAGTGGACTCAGATGAGCATCCTTAGCACGGCCGGGTCGGGGAGATTTAGCAGCGACAGAACAATCCGAGACTACGCTGAGAAGACTTGGGGAATTGAACCATGCAGATTCCCTTCTGATGGCTAGCTCACCCTCATCCACACCCCAGTAGCAACATTTTACAGATTTGAATCAATGGTCAATAAGCTTTCTAATAACATATCTGTTCCAGATAAGGAGCTGTGAGCATGTGGCAATGAGAGGGCACTAAAGAGACAGCTACCACTAGTTGTGTATATATAGTTCTATTGCAATTCAAAGTGTAATAACTATAGGCTATATACCTATAGCCTCAAGTAAAAAATTTAAGCTGTAAATTGCACATTTACAATTTATTGAGTTTTACAAAAACGACCGAGGGATGTAACGTGTTCTTTGAGGATGCCTTCAGTTAGAAGAACACTGATTCTACTTTCTACCCAAGAGGAAATAGACTACTGATTTTATAATCAATAAAATTGTTTTCTTCTTATTGGCCGCATTTCATAAAATTCAAATCAGCTCGCTGCAATGTATTTATTAATTTTATTTTCTAAGTAAGGACCAAGGTATTAACTTTTTATTTTTCTTAAGTTTGAATACTAGTGTTATTAGAAATTTAACTTATCTAACAGATTATGTAATTAAAAGAAAAAGAATTGAGCTTAACCTTTAAAACATCTTTTCAAACCAAAAAGTAAAATAAAGAAATCTATATATACATATTAACAGTATAGCCGCGCGGCTATACTATTTCAATATACGACATGTCGAACATATTTAAAGAGTATCGCCGCGCGGCTATACTGTTATAATATACGACATATCGACATATTTAAAGAGTATAGCCGCGCGGCTATATGTTTTAAATATATTTCCAAAAAAATAAAGAGGACCGCCTAGGCGGCCGCCTAGCGCCTACCTCCTCTCAAGTCAACCAACCTCATCTCGATTCTTGAGATAGAGAGATAAGTATGAAAAAAATGGAAGACACGACATGGGAGCAAAGGCTCCATGCATTAACTCATGTCCTAATCAACCCAACAACCACACCACCTCTTCACTCTCAGTTCTTCATCTCCACCCAAATCCCATGCTACCTGAACTGGGACTACCCACCAGTCCTCTGCACCAAATCCGCCTTCCCTCCTATCCATCTACAATGGGGCATCTCTCTCTTCCTCAAAAGGGTCTCCAGATTTGGGCTTCCTGAGACTTCTTGGAGGTCCAAATGCCCTTATCACCTGCCCCCGCCATTGATTCTTGCAAAAGGAACAGAGGAAGCTCAGTGGGGTGATGAGCAGAGGAGAGAGAATTTTAGGAAGAGGATGAGAAGAAAACGCCTTGGGGGTGATGTTAATCCTGTGCTTCCTATTTTGGTTCCCAATCTCTTGTTGCTTTCTCTTCTGTTTTGGAACCCATTTCCTTAAATTAAAAGTGGTTCCTCTTGTTAACATCTTATCCTACTCTTCTTGTATCTGGGTCCTTGAGAAATATATGTTTTATTATTAATGCTTTTTTCTATATATATAAAAGAATGGGTTTATAACTTTTTATACTAGCTAGCTTTCAGCTGAAATCAGTAGTCTTTTACAGATAAATGTATTATTAATTTTGAGCTCCCACTAATTTTTGTTCAAAACTCAAGTCTGCAAGAGAAACAAAAGGAAAGGACAGAGAAAAAAAAAAGAGCAGAAAAAACGCATTTGAAAGGCTGAAACTATTCCTTCCGCTAATCGCGCAACAAATTTCACATAATTCAATAAAAAGAACAGTGAAAAGAAATATAAAGAAAAAGAAAAGGCTCTAGCTGCTTTGTCAAGCACAGACGTTGACAAAAGCATCTTCCTTTGTTTATTGCTGTGAGTGAGGAAGGGAGGGATGTTGGTGGGTGAACCCCATTTTCCATTGAGGAAGGAGGTTGAGGAGAGAAAAGAAAGGACAATGGCCCCCACCCTTTGTATCAATCCAGTGCTTTAATTCTGCAACTGCTGTAACCAAACATTGAAGTCTTACTTGCCACATGCAAACTTCAATCACCAAATGCCACATGAAAGCTTGATTTGAAATTTGGATCTTGGTCCTCTTGCCTCTTGGATGCCTTGAGACTTCTTTATGTTTTGTTTATCTTTTAAAAGTCTCACTTTGTTGGTTGTTTTGTTTGGGTAAGTTAACCACTCACTGAGACTGTTGAAAATCTCACCAAGGCTTAAGTAAATTTGGTTTTAAGATGTTGAGTGGAGTTATCACAGTGGTTGTGGCCCTTCCCAGCTTTGGCACCCAAGATCGAAACCCCAGAGTGGTTTCTTTCCTTCCAATGTAACCAGAAAAAAAAAACTTGGTTTTAAGATAATTAGAAGGGAAAAAAACAACTTACATAATGTGAGATTTATAAGTTAACCTAAAGGGCTGCTTTTTCAAAGGTTTTTTTTACAGCTTTAAGACTAAGCTCTTTTTCAGAGGAAGGTGCCAACACGCTTTTGCTTTCCAAAATCAACTTCAATGATAGCATGTACCTGTTCTTTCTTCCCTTGCTTTGGCTTTCATGATGCAACTAGAAGTAATGCTTTGAGTTTTTTGTGGGAGGACAGGAGCTAGTGGTGCATGTAGGCATCGAAGCTTCTTTAACCTTCCTCTCTTTTCCTTTAAAAATGACCTTTAGAAAAATTGAATGTGACAGAAGTTGGGAAATTTAACAAAATCTAACCAACAGGAAATTTCAATATCATCTGCTGACAAATTTCATAATTTAGCAGTGGACCAACCCAGTAGCTGGGATCTACATATTAGCAGATGAGATTTTGGTGAAGTATCTATCTACTAGTCACCAAGTGGACCCCTATATCGAATGAGATTGGTATCAAGTATTTATCTATCTGTCCATCTACTTGGTTTTGGTTATGCAACTTAAATATTCCAACTAACAGAAGAAGACACTACTAATGCTGGTTTAAATTGCAGGAAAGCAGTAAATAAGCTGAACCAGAACAAGGTTAAAGTTTCGGCTTTCACTGCACTCATCAACTACTGAGAACGCGTCAAGCACTCACACGGAACTGAGGGTAGCACAACTCTAAAACATGACAGGGAGGACTTAGAACATGAGTCTTTCAGTCTTGGGTATTCTTTCTTTTGCAGTAGAGCTGTCCATCTACTTGGTTTTGGTTATGCAACTTAAATATTCCAACTAACAGAAGAAGACACTACTAATGCTGGTTTAAATTGAAGGAAAGCAGTAAATGAGCTGAACCAGAAGAAGGTTAGAGTTTCGGCTTTCACTGCACTCATCAACAGCTGAGAACGCGTCAAGCACTCACACGGAACTGAGGGTAGCACAACTCTAAAACATGACAGGGACTTAGAACATGAGTCTTTCAGTCTTGAGTACTCTTTCTTTTGCAGTAGAGGTTAGATACGTATCTTAAATTTGACAAAGCAAAGAGGGCACATGCTGCGTGCTGCGTGCGCCATATGATATTATATGCATGCCCCACCCACTCCACAATCCACGCATAATTACACGGCCATGTCCATGTCATGGTTCATCTTTGGCACCGTGTCCTTAATTTCCAAATTATCCTTTTGTGGTTGCTGCCTCTTTATTTTAATTTTTTTCCCCCTAAACTTTAGGGAACACCATCAACACCCACAATTAAAGTTCCATATTGCTTATTAATTCTGCTAGCTGGGTTTTCTTCTAATTTATCTTTATCATATTTTGGTTTGCTTAGAAGAAAAGAAAAATCATGGGTCATCTAAGCTAAATGCAAAGCAAGTTCAGAATGAGCTGACTGGCTGGCTTTTAGTAGAGAAATATGGCAGATAATTATGTTGTTTTCCTCCATGGAAAGACTGAAGTGCATCCAAGGGGAAAAAGTAATGTGTATATACATATCTTTTTTAAAAAAATAAAATAAAATAAACTAATTAACTGGAAAAAGAAAAAAAAAGGTGCTCAATATTGTTGAAGTTCTGCCCCCACTGGGGACCACAAACCATCACCCATACTCCAGCCCATTTGCACCTAATCAGTTGAAAAATTTGGGTGAGAAAAGAAAAAGGGTCTTCTATATAAAGAATGGACTACCACTAGCTCTCCTCCCCCACTATATACACTCAGTTTACAGCAGCTGCCTCCCAACAAGTTCACTTGCCACTATGGCTTCTGCTGCAAAATTGTTCTCTTTCCTCTTCTTCCTTGCATCTCTCCTCTTCTCTCAACAAGCTCAAGCTAGAGAAAGCCAATTCTTTAGCAAAGTGGCCAATGTCAACAACAACAACAACTATGTGAAGGAGACAGAGGTCCCCAAAACAGAAACCCCTGTGAAAAAGCAAGAGCAAGAGCCAGCCTTCATTCCAGAGACCCAAAGTGGATATGGTCTCTATGGCCATGAGTCTGGCCAGCTGCCTCCCACCACCACAACCACTGGTGCACCCTACACCACCACAACCACCGGTGTACCCTACACCACTACCAATGGTGCACAATTCACCACCACCAACAACAACCTGCCATATACAGCTGAGTCAGAGAAAGAGCAGCAGCACACCAACAAGTACCCTGAGACCTACAGCACCCAATACCGCCCCAACAAGAACAACTTTTACTACAATGGCAACAATTTTGAGAGCAACCCAAGTGACACAAGGTTCACACAGAGCAGCTACACCACAACCACAACCCCAACCAATTACCAAAACACCCACTACAACTACAATGCTGAGAAGCAGGGCTTGAGTGATGCAAGGCTTACACAGAGCAGCTACACAACCCCAACCAATTACCAAAGCAACAACTACTACAATGTTGAGAAGCAGGGCATGAGTGACACAAGGTTTTTGGAGAATGGAAAGTACTACTTCGACCCTAGTAGCGAGAACAACTACAATCAGAACCAGTATGAAAATTCAAGGGTGGTGGATTCAAGAAACTGGTACAACAACAGGGGTAACTATGGCAACAACAATGTGAACCAGAACGAGGATCAGTTCCAAGAGAGTGAAGATGAGTTCGTGCCATAAGCTGAAACTTGTTTTGATTAGTACCACTTTGCTGTGTTTGATATATTTGTTCTGAGAACATATATTTAAGTGGGAGTTAAAAACACAAGAAAAATAGAATATTTTATGAAGGGTTTTTGTAATGTTTATTTAATTATGTATCTGTTGTGTCTGGTTTTTCATAAGTGCTAAATGTTCATGCTTTGAAAAAGCTGAAGTTTGTGGACTTGAGTTGAAACAAACAGTCAATAAAGTATATATGATGGTAGCTTGTGCTTATAAGAGCATTTGCCTTATTTTAACTCTTTAATTTGCTAAGTTGGTTGGTCTTATGTCTGCAAAACAGTTCATATTTGTTCATCCAGGCTCGTTCATAACAAGGTCATCACCTACGCTCTCCTAAGCCTTGAGCCCTAGGCTAGCTCCTAGCAGGCTCATAGTCATATTGTCAAAGACAAAGGAAGGAGACTGAGATCAAGGTTGCTTTCAAGTTTTCAATATGGCCAGGCCAGGCGGCATGCACTGTATTCATTTTCGACAAGAGTAATTAGTTGGTAAAAAGCATAATACCATTCAACTTCAATTGCGGGGAAGCTGGGTCTCAATCTTTTTGACCAAAAACTTTTTCTTTTTTCCCTTCTTTGGATGGTTATACACAAAACTACAGCTATGTGGGTTTCCTTTGCGCCCATCTTATACTGTACATTGCACAAAAGAAAGTGGAGCAAAAAGAACAAAATCAACATCCAGATTTGATATTTGATTGTCATGATCTGAGCTGCCAACACGCATCAACCTTTAACCTCAAAATGTACCATTTCTATGTCGTTTGTGAAGCCAGAAGATATATTAACTGTAGTTTTGTTGTCTCCAATTAATCCCAGTATGCCATGGAATTGAACTATCAAAGTTTGAGTAACAGAGTAACTCTGTTTTTTTTTAACCATCCACCCAATGCATGTATATTATTAATAAGCATTTATATTATATAAACTAACCAACTTAATTGGGAACAGATAGAGGGTAGAAGGGCCTCTAGGAGCAAAAGCTATCTTGCAATTTCGGCGTTAAGTTTGGTCCAGTTTTAAAGCTTCATTACCTATTCATTCAATAAAGAGCAAAGCTAGCTACAAATCAAGACTTTTTTTTTCAAGGACCTTTCTTGTTGAGAGAGACGATAATATACTAAACTCACACACACAACACAAATGTTAGGATTTGAACCCAGAACCTTGCCTCAAGAGCAATTACTCCAAACCACTATACTAGTAGGTCCTTTGTCAAATCAAGACATTTTAAAACCTCACCAAAACTTTCTTTTCTTTCAATTCCGTTTCATCAAGTGAGCTGAGTGTGTTTTCTTGCCATCTTCCTCATCCATCCAAGTAATGCATGCACGTGCATTTATATTATGAACTAACTAACCCAGTTAATTGGGACCAGATATAGGGGCAACAGGTTCTCTAGCAGCAAAAGCTGTTCTTGAAAATTTGGTAGTCTTTATGAATATAGAGGCCCATTTCACCAAAAGGGTATATAATTGCAGTACTAGTACTCATGAGAGCATGTAGGACTAATAATCATCCCCACCCCCATTAAATTTTTCAGTTTCATCATAGTGTCCTCCCACCGTCTCTATATATCCTCAACTTATTTAGCATCTTGCTGTAAAGTGACCTATAAATAAATAAAAATCTACTTACACACCACCCTGCCTGCCTGCAGTAAAGAAAGTGGAGGGCAAGTGTAGGTCTTAATCTTAAACTTCAATTTTGATTCCCTTCAATGTGAAGTATGAACCCTACAATTAAGCCCAATGAGCTTTTCTTTGTAATGGACTATGGGTAGTTGCCCATACCTTGTGGTTTAACATTTCTCAGAAATACCAAAAACTTTCTTAAAGCACAAGCCTGAAGAAATACTAAACAATCTGGAGGGGCTGGGTAACCCATTATGTAGCCCACTATAAACAGTTTGAACTTTGATGAGAAGAAAGAAAAGGCGAATGGGGTGTGCTGCGGTCAGTCACTTCCACCGGATGAGTGATTTTAGACCACTGATATGCATGAGGGGCTAGCATTTTATCAATGATCAGAAATTACTTACGTGTAGTCATTTAATTTATGAAGATTGGCTATACAGTCTTCAATGCATGCATCATTTTAATCAACGGTTTGCGATTGTGATTAGCATTTTCTTTATTGAAAAACTTGCCAAATTTGCAGGGCTTATAAGTATAATGGAAGTGTGCTGTTGGCATTCAAATCCCTAGCGACCAAAACAAAACAAGTGAACCATAATTAATAATTAATAAATTCCTTTATATGTAAAAAAAATATAATAATTTAGATCATGATGATCCTGCTCACACTCTAGGTGCTGTGAGTGTTTGGGAGTTGAAAGACGATGGTCATGGTGTTTGGGATTGGGATTTGGAAAGTCATGGTCCAGTCAAGGAGACTGCAAAATGGTGTTTGGTAGACACAGCTTGCATGTTCGACTTAATCTCGGCAAATCCTCTCATCAAAAAGTGGAACGAGGAGCACCCGGGAGGACAAAAAGGGTTTGGTGCTAGCTTTCGATCCAAATAATGAGGATGTCTTGTATCTACAATTGTTTGGTCGCATTGTCATGTACAACATTGGTGCAAGAACGTTAAAGGAGACCACTTGGACCACTCAATTCACACCTTTCATTTTAAGATGGGGAGGGAGATCTGCCTTCCCAGTCTTTCCTTTTGTGCTCCCATGGTGGCCGACGCCAATACTTACCAGTCGGTGTATATTCTTGATATTTCGACAGTTTCTATGACATACCAAAGATATGTGTTCTACTTATGTGCAGTCAATAAAGTTTACACTCACTACAAGAAAAGAAGGCAATAGTCACGTTTTTTAGTCAACAAATTGATTTTGGTGACAGTGGGTGGCTTGTCAATGGTTTTGCTTGCTTGTCACCATTATTTGTGTTGAACTCTCTCACATTTCAATTTATTGATTGCATATGATTTAAGGATTCAGTTGTGGGAAGGAAGGATGGAATTGCTCAATACTTGCTCGCAGTTAAGGACTTATAATTACCTTTGCAAGGCCTTGCCTTATGTATTTACACAGAGACATAGCTTGGATTTGGATTCAGGTATGGAAAGACTGTTGACTTTGAACAATATGTTGTAAAATTGGCTAATATAATCTTTTAAATGATTTTTTTGGAAAATGAAAGGTAATTAGAAATTGTTATTTTTTTTAGGAATATAATACACAAGCTATACACTCACTTATTATACAAATACAAATACAAATATAAATATGAGAATTAATATCTGTCATTCAAATCAAACAAAATAATAAAATATTATAATTTGATATGATGTTCAGCTCTTAATTGCAGCTATAGAAAGTCAATAATTTGTGTCACCAAACTGTCTCATTCGTAACGAGGAGCAAAAGTCACAGAGGCATATGTAACAAACACTCTAATTGTAACTGCATCGTGACTATTGGCTTTTGTCACTAAAAATCGTAACTAATAGGGACAATAGTCATCCAAAGATATGTGTTCTACTTATGTGCAGTCAATAAAGTTTACATGTGGTATCAGAGCCTAGGCTGCATGTTTTTAGAACCAAAAGTTTTCTCCCATCTTTTCTGCCAAAGCCGTTGGATAATTTTGATTAATTCAATAAGCTAACAGATAGTGAATGGTGTACAACCTTCCCCTTCAGAAAATCTAGTCTTAGATTACAAGGACCTGTCTGCACCACCTCCCTCTGAAACCCTAGCTTCCGCGATTCTCAAAACTCTCCCAGAATCACTAGACTGCTATTGATAATGGTAATTCAAATGACAGCAACAAGACGCTTGCTCTCAGACCTGATATCCAAAAGTCGTGGCTGTCGGAGAATGGATTGACAACACCCATAGTGGCACCGACAGAGATGGCTCCATTGGGGAGGAGAAGATGACAAGCAGACATGTGTTGTCCATGGTTTTATGCCTCACTAAAAGTAAGCATAAAGTTTGTGTTTTATTTTATTTGTATCCTCAGATTGATGTTGGCTTGTTTTCTTTTGACTTACCTTTTGATCTTTATAATTCTAGCATGCATCTCGTCTATCTTTTCTTTTTTATCAATATCTTTATTTTTCTCATATTCGTAAGATTATAGCATGCATATTCTTGATATATAATGATTGGTTAATTAAAAACAAACTAGAAAGAGAAGAAGCTATTAGACACAGTCAAGCCTAAATTTATCATCATGTCGTATATTTGATTTGATTTCTCAATTCCTCAACCAATATCTTTTCCATTTTTCTCTATTGAATACTCACTACAAGAAAAGAAGGCAATAGTCACGTTTTTTAGTCAACAAATTGATTTTGGTGACAGTGGGTGGCTTGTCAATGGTTTTGCTTGCTTGTCACCATTATTTGTGTTGAACTCTCTCACATTTCAATTTATTGATTGCATATGATTTAAGGATTCAGTTGTGGGAAGGAAGGATGGAATTGCTCAATACTTGCTCGCAGTTAAGGACTTATAATTACCTTTGCAAGGCCTTGCCTTATGTATTTACACAGAGACATAGCTTGGATTTGGATTCAGGTATGGAAAGACTGTTGACTTTGAACAATATGTTGTAAAATTGGCTAATATAATCTTTTAAATGATTTTTTTGGAAAATGAAAGGTAATTAGAAATTGTTATTTTTTTTAGGAATATAATACACAAGCTATACACTCACTTATTATACAAATACAAATACAAATATAAATATGAGAATTAATATCTGTCATTCAAATCAAACAAAATAATAAAATATTATAATTTGATATGATGTTCAGCTCTTAATTGCAGCTATAGAAAGTCAATAATTTGTGTCACCAAACTGTCTCATTCGTAACGAGGAGCAAAAGTCACAGAGGCATATGTAACAAACACTCTAATTGTAACTGCATCGTGACTATTGGCTTTTGTCACTAAAAATCGTAACTAATAGGGACAATAGTCATGCAAAATATAGTTACTACTGCCCTTTTTTTTTTTTGAGTGGCTGACGCTTCTTCTTCTTCTAGGCGGCCGAGGAATGGTCTAGAAGTCATCATCATGCAGAGAAAGAGCAGCATCATACACACACACATAGGAAAATGGACGAAAGGAGGCTCCTGCTGCTGACCCTTCATCTTCTTCTTCTAGGCGGCCCAGGAAACGGTCTAGAAGGTAATTCAATTTTTAGGCATGCATGCATGCGGCAGCTTTAATGAGGTTGAGCTAAAATTAGGCCCAATGAACTTTTCTTATGGTCTACACCAACAGATAAGATTTAAACTTAAGAGTCCACCAGAAGAAAATAAGCACGTGATGTATAATAATAAAGTAAACTAAGGAAAAGTTTTGAGGTCCGATGGAAATTGACTTAAGCATGTATATGGTTTTTAGTTTCAATCTCAAATTTTGCGGCATGATAAACATGGCTTCAGTTTTGATATCTCCTCAAGCATGCTTAAATTTCATAAGTTGGATAAGTATTTTCTTTGTGGCAAAAGAATACATACACAAGTATATATATATTTAAGATAAAATTGGGGTTTTTAGTTTCAACTTCAGTCATTGATGTTAAATTGACCCAAGCATGTTTTGTGTTGATTAAGTAATCGCATGTCATGAACTGTTTTTCTGTATTTCTGAATACATGCACATAACATTATGCACATGATGAAATCAATGGCGTGCTCTGTTTGGAGAAGAAAGAACGGAAACTCAAAATGTACAGTTAAACAGACAATATGTAAAGCAATTACAGGCTTTGCAGCTTCATATGTGAAAACCCCATTTCAAGTACGAGCCTTGTCCCACCCATCCCATACTATTCATGATTTGATCCGATATATATTATACACCACAAGGCTATAAATGCCAACCTGTTAGAAAGCTCTTGGAAATGTCAATGATAATGCATCAGAAATTCATGAATTTCACAAACAAAATTGAATTCTATCTTGATCATGATTAATTATCGGATTGCTGTTGTCACATCTACCGTGCAATTCCACGTTAAGGTTAACATGTCATGATCACTAATGTTGTTTCAAACTTAAGGATAATTAAGCAGCAAAAAGGAAACTGCAAAAAACAGCCCTTTCTGTTCTGTTGTATAATCCATTTACAAGTGTAATTTCACATCAGGTCCAAGTGTACCTCAACAATCACAGTCAGCTCTTGAAAAGGCAGCAGAGATTGCTCAACAGCTTCAACCTCCTAATGTTTCCTAATAAATATATATTTTCTCATTTCTAAATGAACCCACCTAACCCTTTTGATTTCCACATGGTTTACAACATTCAACTTCAATTTCTGCACGGCTGCACCAAGAACAGACTAAAAAGACCAGACATTTATGATGTTAAGCCTTTACTTAAATAGGTGGTTATGTGGCACAGATAAGATTTTTAATTAAGGAATTGAATTAGTGGTTAAACTGTTGACGTTTGTCTGAGCCATGGTAACTATCAAATGTTAATTAAAAACACAACAGGCTGAGGTTGTGTAAATTTGCAGTTATATCATCAAAGGTTTGATTTGAACTAGACATCGAGATGGGACCCAAGCTCATTTAATCTCCTGATGTAGTCTTTTTTAAGGAAGAATATAAACAACCCTTGTTTTCTCCATAACGTTTTCCCAGTGTGTGGACTTCCTGCGATAATCTTCTGCTTCTCTTTTCTTCTTTTACTCAGGCTGTTCACGCCATGGCCACGGAGGTAACATTTTCAGCCTTACATTCGGAACTCTTATAACTGAAGTACTTATAATTCTCTAGGATTTCTTAGTGTGTGTTTGTTGTTCCATTGTTTTCTGAATGATGGTCTGGCTTCTTCTCTGTTTCTGGGTTTTCAGTGTTTGAATAGGATTTTATATGATTTATGAGAATTGAAACTTGCTTTGCCTCTGGCTCTGGTTATGGTCACGCTCATAGTTACCTCATAGTTACCTCAGTTTCACTGCCTCTTTTTAATTTTCAATGTTTAAAACAATTTCTTTTGTTTTGGCTTATGGGATTCTTAAGAGAGCAGAAATGGAACATGCATGCTTGTAGTATCATATTTTTGGTATCATGGATGTGTAAGTATTCATCATTCATCAATGACAAAATCCTTCATGAGCACCTTTTGTCTCAGAAAAAGGCTGCTTTGATCTGTCACTTCAATATCAGGAAAAGGAGGAAGAACAAAATTTAGTGTGGACAATCTAAGAACTTTGTTTTATTGAAGAAAAAAGTGTTCTTCTCTGGCTCTCAGCTTTTTAGGTCATGATTTAAGACTTTTAAGTTGCCACAAATCAATGGCTCCATGACTTAGAATGTTCTTTCTGAAACATAATTGCGATTACATCTGCGTTTTTCTTCCTAACATGTAATTTGACAAAATTATTGACTGTATGTTATGTTGATACTAAGATTTCGTCTGGTTGGAATCTGCAAGATGATTAATTAGAAATTGTCAAAGAAACATAGTTTTTAGCAGGGTACCGATTCAAAGTTCAAAGTAGCAGTTAGATGTAAAGTCATTTTTAGGAGAATAAAATATGCATCATTGTCATTCTCTCTGTGGAGAAATGAATTATATAGAAAGACTAGATGAGCATTTTTACTATCATTCCATTACAAATTGGTTGAGCTGCAGACAGAGTGAGCAGGTAGACCTAAACAAGGTCACTTTTACCCTTAAAGGTCAACGCCCTATGAATTAGCTTTCATATTTTTTAAACCAAAAAATAGAACAATAAGGATTTGAGTCCAAGACCTTCATTTTCTGTTGTATTTTTATATATATATTGACTGAGCGCAGATATGTTATAATACTAGTAAGATGTGATTGGCTAAAAACATTGATGAATTGAAGATTTTATGTGGTGATGTTTGAATTGGTAACTCCCCAGGATCATGAAATGCCCCATGGATGGCCCCTTGGGCTTGAGATCATGAACATGAGACTTAGAGTGGTGGAGAGCTTACCGGCTGCTGTTGTAGGACACCGTCCTTTGCACATACCCTCTGCTAGTTTCACCTCTTTGTCATCCTCCAACCTTGACACTGAGGTAAATTTGAACTTTCAACTGACTTGATCTTAAGTGCTTGGTTGCCCACATTGCCAAATTGTTCCCTTCTCGTGAATTATGGTATGCATTTGTTATAGCTTTTATATAGTTCTGATGTATTGGTGTATATTTTGCAATCAACAGTCCACAGCATCATTCTTCCAAGACCACAGCATGTCGCTAGGCCGGCTAATAGGGTTTCGAACGGGGGATAGAGGACGCTTGTACTACCCGAATTCAATTTGCTTCGAAGAACATGACAGGAATTCCATTAAGGGTTCACATGCTGATGTCTCTACAAGGCATCAAACAGACATGTCTCGACGAATTTGCATACCATTGCTGCTTGGTGCTCTAGTAAAGATAAGCCGCAGTAAGAGCAAGACCAAATCAAAGAAGGCAGTGTTTGATGGCAAAGGCTAAACTACATCATCTACACTACCATACAAGGGAAATAAAATTTTCACAACATTGTGTCTAATTTCTTCAGCCATTTTGTGTACTGAGAACTGAGTTGACATGTTGATTTAGAGCATTGCATTTGTTTGTTTCATTCAAAAAATTACTCTAAAGCTCTAAGGACTTGATAAAGTTTGGATGTGATAAAAATTCAAGAGGTCATTGATAGCTTGGTTCAGGACCCCAGGGTCCCCAGACAGTTCTCTACTGAGTGCTGTGGTATTTATTGGTTACCTTCTTCAAATTGATTATGAAAGAGAAAGGAAAAGGATTGATAGCAATAAGAGCATCTTGTGTGCAAATTGACTAAGCAAGCACCATATAGATCAATTGGAAATAAGATTTCCTACTTATGTTTTGTATGTTTTTAGTAATGATGTTGGTGTTCGGAAGGAGGGGAATCGAACACGGGATTTCGTATGTCACCATGAATACTTATATTTTATAACGATATTCGTGTGAAAGATATATATACATGGGTTTGAATATAAATACATGTAAATTATACTTAAGAGTACTATGGTCAAACGAAAAAATTACTTGTAGTTGACTTACAAATAAATACAAACCGTTGGATCTTGACTAAATTAATCTAAATCCCCCAATCATAGCCGTCTACATAGCTCCCAATCATCATATGCCACGTCCCTCATCCATTGGAGTAGACATACACACGCATACATGAGACCGCCACTCTAAAGTCCCAAAACCTTCACCCAAATCCCCGTCAAATCCTAAAACCCCAAAAACCACACCATCAGCCATGGCTTCCTTCGCCGCCAGGTCTGTCCTCCGCTCCACCACGGCTCGAGCCACCG